TAACACAACTGCATATCAACCTTCAAACTTCAAACTTATTATTTCCATCATAGGTTTACATCAAGTAAACAACATAAGCATCGTTTTATAATAATTACAGTGAATAATGGCGGCTTATTAACACGTGCTATGTAAATAGAGAATGACAAACATATCCAAATCATACACGTAACATTACAAATAAACATACATATAGCAAATAAATATATTTTTCAAGTAAACAAGCAATCCAGGCATAGAGTGAGAAGAATTCTATAAGACTTGTCTTTCATTCTCATCCTTTTCCATTGTGTAAAAATGTTTTGTTTGTTATATATTTGTATGTACATTATATATACTTTCGGGAATAAATATGTTTAAACTAATCCAGACATACCAGTGTTACACATTTTTAAATATAATTTCGATAAAAATACTAAGTTTATTCAGTAAACTTTTATTTTCACTACTAAACAATTCTTCTAATTTGAAAAAATTGGGATTAACATAAAAATACCGTTTTAAATACTTTTTTCTTTCCTCAAAAAACTTTTGACATTTGAACAAATAATGAAATTCGTCACATACATCATCATTACAAAAGGAACATTTTCTTTCAGAAAAAGGTATATCCTGCCATCTTCCTGTTTCCACAGGTAGCCTATGATTTCTAGTAAAAAACGCATAATTAATAAGCTTCGTCTAGATAACAAAATCTTGATATAAGCACTTCTACCAAACTCAGTTTTAATGCCTTTGTAAATATTCGTGTTTGATGTTAGTTTTATATCAGAGCGCCATTTCTGTATAAAATTATCTTTTAACTTTCGGCAAATTGACCCAATCAGCCATTTCTCATTTAAGAAACTGAGTACAAGAATATTCTATCTAATGCATTTGTAACTATTTGAAACAAAACTGGTCAAATAAGAAAAGATAAATCAAATTTAACGGTACCTGACTATGATACGAGCATCTAAATGAATGAAACAACACTGCACATGAAAATATGACGTTTTACTATGAAGCTTCAGTCTGCTTTACCTATTTTTTTGCATTGTTATTAATTTTTATGTAAACACAGGCTCAATATATCGTCATCGGACAGTACTTCGGCAAAAATGCCCCCAGGTTAATATTTGAAAACAACGTGTTAAATATATCTCCAATATCTAACGCATATAAAACGTTTTTGAAACGTTCATGTTTTGCAAAATAACAATAATTCTGTTATATATATAAAGTGAAACGTAGAAAAAACTTTAAACTCAAAATTTCCAAGTAGTTATATAACATACTTTTAAAATTTCATTGCGGACTTAAAAAGACGTATACTGATAACCCGCTTAGTTTGCGTTACTATTGTTGTATATAAACCAATTCAAAATCTATTTGTGAAATTTAGCCTCCTTATCAATAACATAAGGCAATGGCATAATTTTTAAGTCTGCCCTTTAATAAAAGGGCGGACAACTCTTTGTCCCTTTCTCGTAAGAGAAGGGGAATCCTGTGGTGCGTGTATGTGGTCGCACGGTCACTTTCCTCCAAACATGTCCTCGATGCATGTATGTGGTCGCATGGTCGAAAATATTTAATATAATGACAAATTTAACAAGGCGTTTGGGTCCAAATTTTAAAATCCTAATAAGGAGAAATAAGATCTTATTTATGAGGAGCTTCAGAATAAAAAAGCTTTTAATATTTCTTAAATGAAATCATGCAAAGTTCTTTTGAACTTCACGCCATTTGCAGTGTAGGTCACTCTCTTTGTAGCGTAAAAGTAACCTCTCTTAGGAACCTTTACACCATTTGCAATGTTATCAGGGTAGGTCACTCTAATCCACTCTTTTTTAACGCAACAGTCACCTCCCTTTGGAATCCTTACGCCATTTGCAATGTTATCAGGGGAGGTCATTCTTATCCACTCTTTTTTTAGGGCAACTGTTACCTCCCTTTGAATCTTTACGCCATTTGCAATGTTTTCAGGGGAGGTCATTCTTATCAACTCTTTTTTGGAGCATAACTGTTACCTCCCTTTTAACCCTTACGCCATTTGCAATGTTATCAGGGGAAGTCACTCTAATCCACTCTTTTTTTTAGCGCAACAGTCACCTCCCTTTCGAATCCTTACGCCATTTGCAATGTTATCAGGGGAGGTCATTCTTATCCACTCTTTTTTTGAGCGCAACTGTTACCTCCCTTTGATACCTTACGCCATTTGCAATGTTGTCAGGGGAGGTCACTTTAATCGACTAATTTTTATTTGCAACAGTTACGTCCCTTTGAAGCATAACGCCATTTGCAATGTTTTCAGGGGAGGTCATTCTATTCAGCTATTTTTTAAACGCAACAGTTACGTCCTTTAGAAGCGCTACGCCATTTGCAATGTTTTCAGGGGAGGTCATTCTAACTGACTCATTTTCTTAACTAACAGCAAATTACCTGGGACATGCGATAACTTAGTACTTTAAGGAGCTTAAAATAATATGAAAAAGGCAAAGCCTCAAAGCGAGCTCGATGTACTTTTAACGTGAACTAGTATGAAATAATCGCTCATTTTTATTTCAAATGCAGTGACGAGTGCGTGTGACGTTACACGTACTGTGTTAAATATGGCTCCGCCCCTGTCGTTAAATGAATAACGAGTTTTGAAAACGTTGATAAAACTTTGTTTATTTTATTTTACTTTATAATTTTTCAAGCGAAATAAAGATTATTAAAAGTGAAATAAATGTAAAACTTAAAACGTTTGCGACATTAAAATAGCGTACTTGATTTGTTTGTTTTGCACGTGCTGTTTGGCGCTACATTGTGACGTCACGTAAACAATACTTTAAACGTCTGTACAGCGTTAACGACTGAATAAAAGATATTGGTGTTCGGATTCATTTTCTTAGTTAGACCATTTTCTTTCATTCTAGATAGTTTTCACAACAAAATTCGACAAAAAATTGTTTTAATTTATCAGATTTTTCAAACAAAATGGCGCCTTCAATTTTCATGCCGGCTCGCGTGGCGAGCCGGTTTTACGTTTGGATTTTACTAAGAAACAACCTAAAACTCCGAATCCATCCAAAAATTTAATCGAAGCTTGGCTTCCAGCTCTCTTCAAAATTTATCTGTCAGGGCTGGAATCCAAAATTATTTAGCCAATCAAATTTGATCTTACATAGCATCAAAAAACCTTCAATTTTCACGCCATTTTTAAAAAGCAACAAGTATTGCTTTGAGCGCAAAGATATGATGATGATTAAAATGTTTATTTTCATGAATTCTTTTTAATAAATCATATTCACACTGACTTTTGATTTAGCGATTTCACATGTTTTCTCTGTAGTAAGCTTTTCGTTCGGTTAATTAACATAAGTGTACATCTGGTTCTGTGCATTTTTGTCTTTTCCTTTTTTCTGGTCATTTTATCCTTTCCGGTATTTAGGGTGGGGGAAAATCCCAGGATCCGGAATCCGGGACGCCCGAGACCCGGGATAGTATTAGATATATAGGGAAAAGGAATAAACTATATTTGTGTCGATTATTGTCGTTGAATCTTTGTACAGGAGATGATCATTATACCAAGCCCTCTTACAATATAATTCCCTTTTATGCTCACTATGAGCAAGTCGTGTTCTGGTTAGCATAAACAGGAATTGGGATCCCTATTCATCTGTTGTTACTAATGTGTAATTTAGTTTCTCTTTAAATGATATCTATGAAACCAAAGACTGCACATTAACCACACAAACCAAAGACTGCACATTAACCACACAACAGGAGTCCTCTTTCATAGTTGTTCATATTGTTTTACTCATAGGTCAAGGACACATCTTATAAACACATACGCACACATTTATACCTTATTAATGCCTAAACCTTAAATTTTTGGCATGTTGTATTGCCTTGTTGACCACTTTTAAAATTGTGTTATTATATCTACATCATATTCATTTGTTTAAAATGTTTCACATGCAAAGATGAAGTGGACATATTTTTTATTAAAATGCTTAGGGAAAATATGTTTAAGTCTGATATAAAGTTAACTTCAATGCCTCAAGCTTTGATATTGAATATGTACCAATACCTTGAGAACTTGTACAAATGAAATGTTAATCATGCCCCATGAATCTAAATTTGCCAACACTCAAGAGAGTTCTTCAGTAATATATTCCTGTATAGGACTTGTGTCTGTCACTTATTCCAATACTAAATAACTGGCATTACAACTTAACTTCGTATAAAGAGACATCTTTATGAATTCTACTTATCTAACATTTTTTGGTCAAGGTCAACAGGCCATATAGTAAATGTGCATAGACATAGGGATTTCATTCTATCTGTTTACATGCATCTTCATATATACTCATATTCCTCTTTGTTAAACTGAGAGAACTGGCTTCCATAACTTTATATGTCACTTTTATTTTGATGTTCGCCGAAGTCTCTTCAGCTAACAGAACTGTCATTTTTACATTTAAACACACCCCTGGAAAAAAATTACGAAGCGAGTCGCTACTAGCTTTTTTAGAAGCTAACCTTGTTTTACATTTCCGTTCGATATTTTATCGACAGCTTCCATTATTCTGGTTTCCTGTCCAATTATGGTTTCCATAGACGTGCGCGGGTGACCAGTCTACACATCCGTTTTCAGTCAGAATTTCTCAGTTTTTATCGTTATCTTTAAATTCGAAAGGTTGCGATGTGTCCAATTCGGTACTTCGAACGAAAGTTTTCAAAACCATCACTTAGCAGGTACTCGTGTTACCGTAAAGCTCGCTTTGTGAGCAGGCCCTTTGGGCCTTCTCGTCGAGCTCGCTATAAATGATTGTTGACTTTATCAGGGACGTATAACAATAGAGATGTAGATATATAACGCGATTTATATCCCTGGCTTTTTAAAATAGGCTTTTATTTCTGACGCTAGGATCAAACTATGTGTGACCAGGGCTACTTTCATGTACAGACTCAATCAATCCAAGTGTGCAATTTTCATGTAATTTTATTGTGATCAATGCTTGCGAGGGATCATCCTTCTTCAAAATATTTGAATTTTCTTCTTTGATTTAGCGTTATACAACCTTTACAATTTAGAACGTCAAGGACAGGAATAAGCCAACCAGTACAGGACGGGAACCAGAACAAGATGGAAGGCAACAGAGAAAAGGAACATTTGTTGGCACTGAAAGGTAGGATTTTTTTCTTTTGTACGATAAGTTTTTGTCTAGAAATCATACATGTGATTATTTGTGAAAAGTTTAAAGCTATGAAGCCATGTTTTGAGTTTGTCATTGAATAATTGAACCCTAAAAATGGTTTAAAATTAAATATTTTCATCATGGTCAATAAACGCTTATTGAGATATGACTCGAAATTGATTATGACGATATTGAATATCTTGACTGTTAGTTATATTGATCTTTCTTTATTTCCACTATATAATGAAAGTACAAAAATTTGGATATCTTAGCTTTAAAAAAGTCACTTCAAATGATTCTAATAATAAGTTTCCAATCAGTCAATTTTGAACCTAGACCTCCCACCCACCAGGGAATAGTGAACTTTTGATTATTGAAACATTTTTCATTTCCAGTGCTACCCCTCTCTTTGCCATGTGTTGGGGTACAAAAACTCTGGTCAGACCCCGGCCTATCTTGGCATCAACTCTCAGTAACTTTTGAGACATGTTGACACAATTGTGACATCTACTAAGTTTGATTTAATTTCCTCATCAGTGGTTTCCCTGCTTATATAACAGACTCCAATAAAAGGCCTCTTCCCAATTGAAATTTTCCTTAAATTCATGCAGATTTCCAAAAAATCTGAACTTGAACCTGCTTTTTTACTTCCCAAATTAGCAATTTTAGCGATAGTTTTTCCCAAAATCAAGTGGCTAAGGCCTCTTCCCAATTAAGTGAGAAAAATTACTGCTCATGATTTTGAAAAAAATTCTCCATTAAGTTTCAATAGAATAAAAATTTGCAGGCTCAAAATATAAACCATGCTTTTTAGCAGAATTTTGATTTCCGATAAGGATTGAATAATTCTCAATGTTTTTAAAATTGTATTAACTATATTACTGCCATAATTAACAATTAATTGATATCAGTAGTACATTTTGCATCTTGTGCACTGTCGAGACAATATGAGGAGAGTATCGTACTTTGGACACAGAAGGTGTAAAGTGTGATTGTGCTTCCTGGCTTAGAAGATGGAACAACAGATATAGGATCATATTACCTATCAAATGCTTGGCTGTTTACATTATTAAAATTTGATGATAAATGATTTTGTTTTTATTCAGAATTATGGAAATTGAATAAAAACACATTTTAAGATTGACACAGATGGCACATTTGTGTCACAACATGTGAAAAACTTACCGAGAGTTGACAAAGACCTGGTTAGGTGGGGGTAAGGATCTGACCCTAAGTTCATAACTGTGTGTGGCTTGGGTTACTATTGACTGATGCATTTATTAGTGTGCTTTAAGACGCAAGGCATACCTTGGCTAGAACTGCAGCGTTGACAAAATCTGATTTTGACTCACTTGTCCATTTTATCAAATACATTTCTTTACTTCAGTTACTTGTCTGTGTGACATTTATTAAGTAAATTCTGGAAAATTTTCACTGTGGGACAAAAAGGTCAATATGTAAAATTGATTTTGCCGCCCCTATTAGCAATGTGATCCATTTAAAGCTACTGTATGCACAGTTACAATGTAGTTTGTAATCCATGTACGTCGATCACGTCATACTAGCAAAGGTATGCAATAAAGGCTAGGACTACAATTGTTATTTATAAACAATAGCAAATTAAAAAACATTAGATATTTGAAAAGTGATGATTCAACAAAATGTTTTCAAAACTTTGTGCTAGTAATTAGATTTAAACTATCTATGGTGACCAACCATATTAGGAAATTTAATTTCAGTTGAAATATAATAAAAGATAAGAATTTACATTCCACACCACAAAATGAATGTTTTTTTGTGTGTTTAAAGTGACATTATGCCCATCCAAGGGTATAAAGTGAGTGAACAGGTGAATATCAAAATTAGTTTTCATTTTACCATAATTCCTTTTAACTTAATGATTTACTTCCCATAAACAATAAAAATTCACAGATCCAAATAAAATTCTTTAAATATGTATTAGAATTTACCTCTAACGCTCAGTTTATAAAAAGAGTGGGGCAGTCTTTTTATATTTTAGGCAGATTTATAATTTTATCCTGAACGTTTTCCAATATCAACTCTTGGTCAAACACCATTTTAACAATCAATCTTTTGAAATATAAAGTCAATTCAGCTCAACTTGACTATGAAAATATGAGCATAATGTCACTTTAAATCTTGACAAAATAATTTTGATTGTCATTTCTACTTGTAACATGTATTCAGCTATGACTATGCATCCAGACAATCAGTGATTCCTTGAAGATGATTTTATTTAAAACATAATTTGTGTTTTCATATGAAAAAAACGGTGATCATCATTAAGTAAAATAACTATTTGACAGTTTCTATTAACATTTTGTTAATTCATTGTTGAAATATTGGTGTGATACCTTATTTATCTTAGTTTTTCATGTACATTGTAATTATCAAAACTGCGGTGTAATTGACCTATAATGTGTATGCAAGTAGCGAGTTGTTTGTGACTCACATAATATTAATAAAAGTAAATAATAGAAAATGATGATTCATTTACAACAAATTTGGTTCACTAAAAGAGAACTCTTCATTGTAGTTTTGTATGTTTTCTCTTAGTTGTCTCCCTTATTTTCTTTTGAAGTTATGAACTTGGTGAATAATGTTAAAGTTATCAAAATTGAAATGTTTGAAAAGAAATGATATGACAAACATAACTTGCAAGGTTTTTGTAATGAATTATGTTGTAAGAAAATAATTATAAAGTAAATGTCTAATATAGAAGACATGGTAGACTGCCATTATTGAAGAGGTATGGTAATTTCCCTTTAATATCTTTATTGCAATATTAACACTGGAATGAGCTGGTAAGTCACCCACAGAATATACTTTAGCCACTGCTGCTTTGAAGAACAATGTAGTTTTATTAGAATCCATAGTAATTTTTTATATTTAAATTAATGAATTAATTGTGTGTAATGAACCACATGCTGCTGATGCATAATATAGGAGCAATTCCTGTAACTGCAGCATTTGTTAAAGTGCAAGACTTAGTGGCATGTAATGAGTGATTTGAAAAAAAATGTTTAAGTTACATGTGTTTTTTTTAGGAGAAACAGCTCATGAAATAAATAGTAACTACCATGTTGTCCTAAATGATCAGTACTTTTTGGTGATTATCAGTTTAATATGTTACATTGTAGTAGCAATGATCAGCGGTTTCAGATATAAAGGACCTTAGTATAAGTAATGTGCAATATAATTTGATTAGTTTTACATATTATCAGCAAACTGCTATGTTATTTTCCCAGATTTGTATTGTCAGATATATTGTACGTTTATAATATTTGTATGAGAAAAAGGTACTATGTATGACTTCTCTTCAGGTTTCTCTTGTTCTATAAATTATCAAATGACATGTTATCCTGGATGATTCGTAATTTGAGAGTTTTTGCTTGTGAATAACTGACACAATGGCATCAATGATCTGTAGTTTTAAAGATTTTTAAAATGGTGTAAATTTTATCTGGAAAAGAAGAAACAAAACAACAGTGTGTGATCAGTACTGAAGTAGTCAGTTGACATGTTATCCTAGATGATATGTACTTCAATGTAAATGTGTGCTCAGTACACTGTAAAATACAATACTCTTTGATCAATAAGTGGGAAAGTAAGAAGAAGAAAAAGAAATAACATTAAACAAACTTATTACCTAGTATTGACAAAGTTCCTCGCCATTAATTCCTCAATTTATTGGTGTTTGTGCCATGTAAAATAAGTTGACACACAATTTCCTGTAGAAAGCCATGTCATTATTTGTTTGATTAAGGTCACTAGTGAGTAAAAGTACATTTAAGGGCAGATTTTATAGTGTAAATATAAGGGGAAAAGTGTTTATTGTTTCTGGATGGCAAGAAACAGAAATATATGTGATTTTAGGGATATATCAACAGGGGCGGCAATTAAGTCAATTGTTCATATTGCCTAGGTTACGTCCCACAGCCTGTAAGGTCAAGTGGAAATTTTCAATCATTTACTGTAAAGATATCATACAGACAAGTATAAGTCAAAATTAGATTTTGCTGGCCCTACATGTATATAAAGATGGAAATTTAAAGTTGGTCAGTTAACAGTATTAGACCTGGTCAGACTTCACAGAATTGTAAAGGCTGGCCTGGCTTATAATACCCAGGTGACACAGGTTTGACCACCAGCATTAAGCATTTTAAGAGTTAAGGTCAAATACATAATAAGATGTTTAGAAATGAACTGCAAAATGTTGTAAATTTGAGTTAATACTATTCACCCAGGGAAGTAACAAAGATTTTTTGAGCCCAATTATAAGCTCCCTTCTTACACATTTAAAGATACATTAAGCTACTCTGAAAAGTCTGGTTCTTAAAAATAAGCCAAACCATTTGGTCTAAAATCAGATATTATTTGTTTTTCCCTCCCACTACCAACTTGCTTAATATAATCACTGCTATCCAAGAAATGTAATTGCCAAGCAAAAAAAAATTGTTTTTTAATTATTAATGTGGAAGTACCGGGGTACTTGTCAGTGAGATTGACACCATTATATCAGAGTGTCTTGTTAATATACAAACTGGGTTGTATACAGAATGAAATTTGGGTATTTTATTTTTTTTAAATTTATAAATACTGCATTAATTTTACAATATTAATTTTAAGATAATATTTTATAAAAAAATATATTTTAGATGAAAAATATATTTAACCTATTAACTACATAGCCAGTCTACCCATGGGGTTAAACAAAGACATTTTACCCTAGTTGTTTTTGTAACTAAGTAATATAACTACAATGCACGCATTTACATTTTAGATCTTTCATGTTTTTCTCTTAAAGAAAATTTGTTGCTTTTAACCATCCAGCATTCTGATTTATTAGGTTGACTGAGGACAATATATTGTCTCCTAAGTGCAGTAATGGGTTAACTCCAATTACTTTTAAAGGGAGTTAACTCGTTACTGCATTAAGGCAACAATATCATTATCAACCTCTCCCTTAA